GCTTTCTACTCCAGTAAAGTTACAATCTCAGAAACCCATAGGGGGTGGTTCTATCTTGTTCTATGAATCAGTATCCACTTGATGACAGTGAGTCTGGACTTGGCTTTTTTAAATACCTATGCCTGTCAAGGGCTAGGCAGGACTGAGGATTGAGGAGAAACTGCCTATTCTGAATCAACAAACCAATTTGTTGCCAATGGAAAGGCAGTGTTACAGTGGGAAAGATGCTGGGATGACTACTGTGACTGGGGGCAAGGACTCCATGCCAGCACAATCACCAGGCTGGTGGACAAGACCAAAGGAATGCCTAGCACTGTGAAGAGGACCAAGTCTTTGGTCGATGGGAGCCTCACCAGTTTTGGGAAATCAGATGATACAGCTGGTAAACAATGGTATGGAAAATGCATTTACTATATCAGAACTACTGATAGACCAGAATCTCCCTCTCACCCAGGAAGAACCAGGAAAAAAAAAGAAGTGAAAAGGATTTGATGCGGTTCAGAAGCCAAATTGTTACGTTAGATCAAAATTTCTGTCCACCACACATCATTTGCATGTCCATTAGCAGAGTTAAAGAAGCTAAGCAGAGTAGTCAAGAAACCATTATCAACTCTATTCTATTAACTTGATTAGATGAATTTTGCCAAGAAGAATGTGCATGGTGATAACAAGATATTCAGGATGCTCAAGGTAAGTTCTACCTTTCAGGGATGACAGGGTAGAGAAGCACCAGCATGATACCAGTGAATACCCCTCTGCTGAGCACATCAAGGTCTCTGCTCTTGCTATAACCCACACCTGACTCAGCAGCCCCAGACCACCTGTTACACCCTCTTAACCAAGAGCCAAGGGTCACCTTGGGAACATGCAAGATCAAACCAACAAGCATCAATGGTGCCTCCTTCTCATTTCTCATAAGGGGCAGCCACTTCTCGTAAGGGGCAGCTGAAGATAATGAAGGTGTCTCTAGACGGTACCATGTATTATTTTGTTAACAACATGCCATTCAATGGGCTGGTCAGCCCCTTTCATCCTCACCTGACTGAATCTCAGAAGGCCCAAGACCAAACTGCAAAGTAAGATGAAACCGGCCAGTAGGTCCAGCAACCTGATCATCCTGTTGTTTTTAGTGCCAGGGAGTTGGTTCCGGCTCACAGAGACCCTCTGCAGAGTAGAAGAAAACACTGCTCAGTCATGCCCATCCTCAGAATCGTGATGTTGAAGCCATTGTTGCATCCACTACGTCAGTCCATTTCTTTGAGGGTCTTTCTCTTTTTGCTGACCCGCTACGTCACCAAGTATGATGTCCTTTTCCAGTGACTGATGTCTCCTGATAAGATGTCCAAAACAAGTGAGAGGAAACCTTGCCATCCTTGCTTCCATGAAACATTCTGGCTGTACTTCTTCCAAGACAGATGTGTTTGTTCTTCCGGCAGTATCTCTGATACTTTCCATATTCTGTGCCAACACTATAATTCAAATGTGTCCATTCTTCTGCAGTCTGCTTTATTCATTAGTCAACTTTCAGACGTGTATGAGGTGAGTGAGAAAAGCATGGCTTGGGCCAGGCATACCTAGGTCTTCAAAGTGACATCCTTGTTCTTCTTCAATACTTTAAAGAGGTTTTGTGCATCAGGTTTACCCAATGCAACACATCATTTGAATTCCTGGCAGCTGCTTCCATGAACATTGATTGGGGATCCAAGCAAGACAAAATCCTTGGCAACTTAAATCTTTCCTCCATTTATCATGAGGTAGTTCATCGGCCCAGCTGTGAGGCTTTTGGTTTTCTTGCTATCGAGTTGTAATCCATACTGAAGGCTACAGTCCTTGATCTTCATAAGCAAGTATTTGAAGTCCTCTTCGCTTTCAGCAAGCAAGTTTATGTCACCTGTACATCACAAGCTATTAATGACCTTCCTCCAATCTTGATGCTGTATTCAGCTTCTTGGATTATTTCTTCAGCATTTGATTAAATAAGTATGGTGAAAGGATACAACCTTGACCCTCACCTGTTCTGATTTTAAACCACATAGCATTCCCTTGTTCAGTTTGAACAACTGCTTCTTGATCCTTGCACAGGTTCTGCACGAACACAATGAAGAGTTATGGAATTCCCATTCTTCTCAGTGTTATCCATAATTTGATATGATCCACATAGTTGGATGTCTGCATAGTTAATAATATGTAAGTAAACAGCTTCCTGGTGTTCTCTGATTTCAGCCAAAATCTATCTGATATCAGGAATGTTCCATGTCCTCTTCTAAATCTAGCTGAAATTTCTGGAAGCTCCTTATCAATGTACTGCTGCAACCGCTGTTAAATTATCTTCATCAAAATTATATTTGCATATGATATTGATATTATTCAATAATGTCTACATTCTGTTAGGTGACTTTTTTTTTAATTGGGTGAAAATATAATCTGACCATAAACACACTAAAAAACAAAGCCTTACCCTGTCACCAATGCATGTTACAGCCAGCTAAATGACACATCATATTGTTGAAATTAACCTGCTAAGCAAATCTGAACTAGGTAATCAAGTAGCTAGACAAAACATCCTCTATTATAGTTACTTCCATCAGGTTTAAAATCTGCTGGGTTTGAACCACAAACCTTTCAGTTAGCAGCCAAGTACTATAACTACTGTACCTCCAAAGCTCCTAGCTATCCAGGGAAAAAAACAAAAGACCACTGCCATTGAGCCTTACTCATAGTGACCCTAGGGACCCTGCATAAGGTTTCTGGGGCTATACATCTTTACTGGAGCAGATAACCTCAACTTTCTTCCCAGGAGGGGCTGGTAGGTTTGAACTGAAACCTTCAGGTTAGCAGCCCAATGCCTAATCCACTATGCTGCAAAAGAAGGTCCTTAGTCAAGGAACGAGAGGCATAATTACACCCAATCTATTCTGTGACTGAGTCTGCCTTTGATGAAGAAGATTCTGCTGAATACTTACTCACACAGCAGACATATGCAATTTTAATATTCTCATAGTCTGCATTGGCAGGTGTAATTAATATGATATGGTTCTAGCAGGAGCTGAAGTCATATGCCTGAATTTCTGCCCCTATCAGGTGTGTTAGTTGTGCGGTGGTTAAAGCACTCTACTGCCACAGGAATATTACAGGTTCTAACTGACCAGCCAGTTCAGTGGAAGAAAGATATGGCAGTCTGTTTCCACAAAGATTTACAGCCTTGGAAGCCCTAGGGGGCAGGTGTACTCTGTTCTATAGAGTCACAATGAATCAGAATCAACTCAATCATCATGGGGTTTTTGATTAGTATGTGATCCTTCCCCATACCTTTCATATCTATTAGCTAACCTCTTTGTCAGCCTTGATGAAAGAATGGAGCCCATGGTTAGTTGCTGCTGATCCTTCTACTGAGGCCCTGTGCCAGCTAGGAGTCTGCCCCTGGAGTTGCTATGGAAACTGTCCCCTTCTTCTGCCTACAACCTATTGTGGCTTTCTGCTTCCCCATAGTACTACTTACTTTCTGACTGCAGAAGAGGAGGCCTACACATCTCTCTGTGCTCCTTTCGATTCAGATCCACAATCGTGGCACAGGGAGGTGAAATGGAACACGGTCTCATGTATCATGTAGGGTGAGGGACCCCTACTATTTGAGGTTCTGCCAGGGCTCTTATTTCCCTCTGTGCTACAAACAAGATTTTCAGGGCTAGATCCCATCTGGTTGCAGAATGGACTAGCTAGGGACGCATGCTGTGTGGTCCTTAACATGCAGACAATAGCCCAACCCACCCCAGAGCCTCCAGGGAGAAGATGGGTCAGAAGATGGCTCAAAAGTCACATTCATCCCCAAAGTGTCAGGCAAATGGAAAAAAAGACAAATTGTGGCTGGAGTCCTAGAGGGACAGACTATCTGACACATACATGTACACCATGTCCCTGGTAAAAGAAGCTGCTGTAATGCAGACTAGGGTGTGGAAACACATGGAGCAGGTGGGGTGGGGGGTATGGAGGGGGGCGCAACTTTATAGCACCATTTTCCCAAGGATGTTCCAGTCAGTCATTTAACGGTGCCAGAAAGTCTCAGCCCCTGGTCCTTGGGCTTTGGGAAGGTCACCCTCTTCTCTGGTTTAAACATTGCCACCTTCCTGCGTTGAGCATTCTCCAGGGGAAGCAAAACATGTCTCTCAAGGTTACCCATTGCATTGTCACATCACTCGGGAGTAGGGAAGGCATTTCCTGGGTTTTACTCAAATTCCCCCTTGCTGCAGTCTGAGCTCATTGCGCACCAGATGGAGACTGGCCAACCCACTGTTTTCAGAATAACAACTCACTAGGGACTCAGGGCCGGAAGGTCACTCTGTCCCCTCCAATTCTGCGAAACCTTCCCGAGCACTCCTAAGGCCCAGGACAAGGAGGGTAAGAAGCCAAGGATGGAGACCAGTGTCTTGGCAAGCAGTGGGGAATACGATTTCTTCTTCAACTAAAAAGAAAAGAGGCAGACGGAGATGGAGACAACAATACGAACTCGGGAGACACCGATGGACAAGATGGCTCCGCTCCGTTCGAGCCAAACAGTGGAACTGCAGGATCGCACAAATCGAAGTAACATCCTAACTGGAAGCTTCTTCCGGCGCCGAGCGAAAGTCCTCTCCTCTGCACCCGGCCCTCGGAGGCCCACCTATGCCCAAGTAGGAGAGCAAGCTCCCCGGTGGGGGGGCGGGGGGCGCAGAGAAGAGGCAGGGGCTGAAGGGGGCGGTCACCCACACATCCGCGGCCAGCCGGAGAGACCGCAGAGCCAGGCGCCGCACCCCCAGCCCCGCCCCTGCGGCGCCTGTGCTCCGCCCCCCGGCAGGCAGCAGCCAATGGCAAGCTTCGGCCGCCGGCCTTTAAGAACGGCGCGCACTCTCCCTGCAGCGGACGGTGCTGGCCTAGCACTCCGTGGGAGTTTCCATGGAGACCGAGGCAAGGCCCGGGCTGCCTCGCAGCGTTGCCATGGAGACAACGCTGGGACTTGGGCTGCGGAGCCCAGACGACGTTCCGCTGCCTCCGAACCCTGCGGAGCAGCTGTGCGAGGCCGGAGCCGGTGTGGCCGCGGCACGCTGGGACCCGCGGAAACACTCTTTGCTCATCGTGATCGGTGATATCGGTACTGAGAGTCAGCTGAGGGCCGTGCGGGCCCACCTTGAACAAGGTGAGCCGCTGTCCTGGCTGGGCATCCTTCCTCCCGTGCTTCACCGCCATCTGCATTCACCTCTCGGTGCGGACGTCTGCATACTGCATCCCTAATGTGCGTTCCCTGAGATCTGAGCCCCCGGTTGATCTCAGTCATCAGCCCCGTCGCCTGCATCTTCCATGCCATAGGTCCATATACTCTCCAGCTTCTCACATATCCTATCCTTCCCCGCACAGCCCTTGGCATCCCGCAGTCTCCCAGGAGGGTGGAAGCTCGGTACAGCCCCTGGGGCCCCTCCCACCACTCTCCTCTTTCGCTGTGTCTCTGGGAGAGATGCTGGAAGGTCCTCACCATTCCCTGGAGAGTCCATGTTCCCTACCTTACAGTGTCTTCTTTGGGGGTCCCTGAACAGGCCCAAGGTACTTTCTGAATGCCAGGAAGGAGTGTCTGGCAGCCAACCTGAGGGAGTGACCTTCGTGGTCACTGGCTCCTCAGTCCTCACCTCCCTCCCCAGTTGCTGCTCTGTGGCGCAGTGCTGCGGAGCCACCTGCGGGTGGAAGCTAGCTGAGGAGGGATGGAGGCAGAGGGCAGGCAAGAAAGCTCTTGGATGTCATTTCTCCCCCAGTCAGTCAACTCTGCAAGAGAAGTCCTCACTATGAACAAATTAATGACCAAGTTTCATCTAAATTCTGACCTTTTCCCTCAGGCTTAGGCAAATTCCAGGGAAAGAGGCATTTTTGAGGTTGTTCATGACTGCTGGCAGCCCTTATCTTTCCCTTCCCCTTCCCTCTATATTCCCGACAGTCTGACCTTCCTGCCTTATCCAGAGCCTTCTTTGTTTCTCTTTCTCTCACAGGGATTCTCTCCTGGAACATTGACTTATCATCCTTTGACCTGAACCAACAGTTGAGACTCTTCATCACCCGGCACCTAGCTCACTTCTCTTCAGAGGTCAAAGGTTAGGACTAGTACCATTTGTCTCAATCCGCTGGGTAGAGCTGGTCACAGAAGAGCAGAGGTTGTCTCCCATAGCTTTGTGGGAGGTTTGGGTAAGAAAGAAGGGAGGGAAGTCTTGCTTGGGGGGTGGGGGCGGGCAGAGTTGCAAAGCTCCACAATCACTCCCAGAATCATGAGTACACTTTGCAGACAGATGGCATGATGGTGGAGGGAGCTTGGAGGACATAATTTCAACCTGAGAAGAGGGTGATTTGTGGACACTACTGATGTACACGGAGGGAATGAGGTACTTTGCTGAGTAATTTTCTTCCATGCAAAGACCCACTCCCTTCTTTCTGCATCCTCCAGCCTTCGCCTTTCCCTTTCCAGAGACCCCCAAATCTCCCATGCACCTTCCCAGACCTTTGCTTACTGCTTTTCCCTAGGCTGTACACCCTACCTACCACATTTCAGGAGTCCTGGGTTTCTCCTTTGGTTCGGCCAACAGATCTCCCCAGCAGAACAGTAGCCTGGGGCCAAAAGTTGATAAGCACCCTCAAATCCCAGGTGGAAAGCAAGAGCCTGGATTTACTCCTACAAGAGCTAGTTGCATTCTGAGGTTTGGCTTTGAGGTCAAAGTTTACAGGATACAGTTTACCATTCTGCTGGGTGGGAAGAAATGGGTTAGAGATTTTGGAAACTTAGATTTTCAGAAACTATCATCCTATGAGTGTAGGTGGTAGGATATCTATGGCAAAACTGCAGAAAGCCCTATATTCCATTAAAAACATCAGGCATCTGGTCATGTTATCGATAAATGCTGACATATCAATTCATGTACCAATGCCTTTTATGGACAATGAAATCCACCCAGCTACAATAGTCTCTGCCACCAAACGATGGCATTCATATCTTATGCTAATACTTCTACATTTGCCAGTATGATAGATAGTTACCTCTTCTTCACTTTCAACTCTTCCTCCTAACTGCCAGATCTTTGGTCACTTCCCTGTTCACTAATTTCCACGGAGATGCTGCCATAAAGAAGAAGAGACAAAGTTCATATGATAAGTGCTCCATTATCCTAGGAATATGTGCAGCAAGTTTAAAATTGTGAGGCTGGTCTCTTCCTGTAAAGCTAGCCACTCACTGTTTTAAGTTGCCCTCCTCAAAATGACTCATCACGGCTTCCTCCATGCACACCGATAAGGACAAATCAGCAGGTTTACTACTGAGCCCTCCTACGAGTTTGTTTGCAAGAGTGGATGTGGATATGGCAGTATATAAAATTAATGACTGAATTGAAGTTTGGGGGGAGGATATATCTGATATTCATAAGTCACTGAATTCTCTAGCCTGGCCATTGTGACCAGAGTTGGCTGGAGACTTGGCTGCTTTTTGGAAACATATAAGACCTAACGAAAAATGAAATCAAGGTACTTAGCCAAACTCCAGATAAAGATGCAGGGATGCTTAGCAAGATGCTCACAGGGAAATGCATAGTTACTCTCAGGCACTGCAGATAAACATCCACTGGACCTAGTCAAAGGGTTTTGTCATAGAGATTAGGGCTACGCACCTAAGATCAGGGTTTACTTTAGTAAACGGGTTTCTATTTTATTATTTTAGAAAATTTCATACTGGCCTGTCAATGTCTCTAAGGATAGAGAAGATTTCCTGGAAAAACCCACATGGCTGAAGATAGCCCCAGACCCACCCCTGCTTGCTCCTCTTTCAATTGTCCCCACAAATACTTAGCCGAGAGCAACCGCAGACACTGACCCTCTCTTCAGCCTCCAGTTGGCGGAGAGGCAAAGGAAATGAGGAGACTGGGATGGGTTCAAGGGAATAGTCTAGTACCCTGTGATCTCATCCTTTCTGCCCATTGTACTGACTGGGTCATTATCACTATCACCTGCCCTCCATCCCTGGGCCAAAATTCTGAGAAAGGTGACAAAACTATATCCTACAATGATGAGAATGCAAGAAATCCCACATCTACACACCCACACATGGAAAAGAAGAGGCAGTCTGATAGAGGGTTGGTGGTCTGGCTCCTACTCATGTTCAAGGCTTGGTCATGGTTACAAAAAATGGCTTTTGCACCAGGGGGTCATCAGGGGTGACTTGGAACTTAACCTTTTAACTCCTGAAAAATAGCTAGTTTCCTGTGATAACAAAAACCCAGAAACAATTCGAACAGTGCCTACAGGGAAAGGTAGGGCCTTATCATTTATAACTGGTATACCGGGACTCTAAGGAACACAGTCAGAGGCACCAGTTTGGCGGGAGGACTACTGTCTGACACTCCATTACACTGATGTACTCGAAAGTGACAGCTACTTCTACAAACGTGAAAACCATCCTGAATTAATAGAGAAGCTCTTGGGTCCCTGGAACTGGGATTTACATGATGTGAAATGGGAAAGCAAGGACATGATAAGTACTTCAAGTCCCACCCTGTAGGCTTCTCTGGGTTTACTTGGAAGCTAAGGGTATGGTACAGCAGGCTGGTCTAAGATTCTAATTTAATTAAGATAGCCCTGGGCACCCAGATCTGCCTGGATGGCCTCTCAGAAATATTTCACCAAAGAGAGACAGAGTGCCAGGGGCATTTGTGCATGACAGGTGTAGGATTACAGGAATTAAACATTTGTTCACCTTTTATGTCACTCAGCCTTCACTGTATTGTTGAAGGACGATAGGTCTGATATTAATGACACTCACTTTCTAGTGCAAAGTCTTTGAGCGATTAAGTACTTGGTTTGTTTCACAGCATAATTTGTAAAATGGTGAAGCCATGTCACTGCTGTCACTTGTATCTGAGCTTAGGGCTCGCTCTCTCTCTTCCCCTGTGGCATCACACCATTCCCTGCAGCAGAGCCTGGGAACCCAGCAGCTGGTGGTGGGAGGTGGCTGTTCCGAGGATGAGGGATGAAGGAACCATGCCTCGCCTCCGGTGTGGCTCTTGGGGTGGCATTTGAGCAAAGGGTGGGCTCTGCATTGGGCCGAGAAATGTTATTTTGTCCTCAAGCCAAATGTCTACTCAAGTTTCCCTAACTCGCTCCAGAAAGCGAGATTGAAGACTAGAGGTTGGAGGGAATAAGAGCTATGAGTTTGCATAAGGGGAGGTGTTTCCTTTTTGTGGTACTCAGACCTCTGCGTAGTCTGTGCTGTGTAGTGATGTTGGATGTGGCCCTCTGGCTCTCTGCATCCCCGGATCTGTACAAGGTTTCCTCCCACCCTCCTTCTCCCCCCCCTCCAAACACACACACACAGGGTACCAGTGACTCAGCTCCTCCTCTCCTCTGGCTGCAGTAATGGGGGGTGGAGGATGCTGAGAGCAGAGACTATTTTGGCTTCTCTGACCTTCAATGCAGTTCTTGGCAACCCAGGGCAAGGGTGGAGCTGGTGCTCCAGTTTGAGTGGGATGGATGCTAATGTGAGGAAGGCATTAGGAGCTGGCCAGGGCTTGGGGAAGATTGGAGGAATGAAAGAGGGCCAAAAAAGCACGCCTATCACCTGGCTGGAACTGAGCCCTGAACCGCTCCAGATCCACCCTTTGAGCCCTGGAGTGCTTCAGGAAATCTGAGCCGGAGTTAGTGACTAAGAGAATTAGGGCTAGCACTAGAAGAATCAAGGGGGGGTAGAAGAGATATGAAAATACTGCAGTGGCAAGGAGGTAATGGGGACCCGACCATCCTATGAAGTCATTACAAACCCAAAGAGTACTTCATGTTCTATTTCATCACTGGTCTACCCTCAGAAAACCTGGCTCAGGCAGGAGTCCTGAGGATGCTCTTTGGTCCCTGTTAACCCTGTCATTACTGAAAGGCAGAAAGCCCCCTGGCCAGTCACCACAGTGGGAGACTGCCTCCTCACACCCAGTGCCCCCCACGCCCTAAGTGGTGGGTGCCTGTGTGGTTCGGGTGTGGTGCTGCATTGGCACACAGCTGCTCGCAGTTCCCTGGCCCCTGTTCTCTGCCCAACCTCCCCACCACAGGCCAGGGACTTGTTTCTGCCGCTGTGGCCTGTAAGATGACCAAACTCAAAGTCATCAAGTGGACTCTGACTCACTGTGACCTTAGAACGAAGTGGGGCTGCTCCTCTCGATTTCAGAGGTCATCAAGCTTTAAGGGAGTAGCAAGCCTAACTGTTCTCTCTCCCAAGGAGCAGCCCTCCCTTATAAGTCCAACTTGTAACTGACCCATCAACTGCACCTCCCCAACCCCAGCTTTCTTCTCAGGCATGGCTCCCCGGCCCCCCTATCCCCCATGCTTTTAGCCCTCAACCTCTTTTCTGCTGCTCCTCCCAGGGTCTCTCTGAGGGGACAGGCAGCAGATGGTTCCTCTGAAAAAGGGGGAGGGTCCAGGCAACCCACACACCCTACCTTCCCACTTCCTGCTTTAGGCTTACCAGCCGAAATGAATGAATCTTTCTTGACTAAGCAGGGCTCGGGGAGAAGGGTGTCTAGCCTGTGAACTGCTAGAGACCACCCTGGCCCTGTAAGCGGCTAGCTGACTCCTCAACCCCACACAACTAGGCGGAAACGGCACCAAAGCCCTGACGTGTGCAGGCAAAGAAACAGTTAAATCTCCAGTGGCTCGTCAGGGACCAGCCCCTCTTCCCCGCCC